TTCCATATAAAGTAATTTACATTTCAGTTCGAATTATTTTTGTTTTGAAATATTTTCTATTTTTAATTATTAAGATTTTGTTTTGTTTGTTTTTGCATAACTGATGCTACGCTTTCAGTCCTTAGACAAGCTTCATTGAACGCAGAAACGGTGGGCTAGTCAGAACCCACGGGTTTGAGGTCGCAGTGAGTAGGGCCGATTTAATTATGAATATGTAATCATTAAAAAGACCCTAATATGATTTTTGAAACAAAATGTTATTTTGTTGTATCTTTTTGTCATATGCCTTCCAAAGATTTCTTATCGCGAAGGCTACACATTTGAATATAACTGCTTTATGGATTTCTTCGCGTTTAATTTTGAATCTATTTAACTATATTTCCAATACTTGGCCATATTCATGGTCACAGGTGGCTTGAGGTGTCCAAAATAAAAGAATAAAACAGGATAAAATCCGTAAAGTATTTTTATTCGTACAAATTTTAAACGATGTTTTTTCTTCAATTAAACTTGCATCATTTTTTTATGTGACAAAGTGGCAAACGAACTGGCGGTTCACCTGATGTTAAGTGATTCATTCGTCACCCATTCTTCACCCATGAACATTTGCAACACCCTTAGGGTTGCAGATGTGTTGTCAACTTTAAATAAAGTGGGCCCCGGCTACCTCACTACCAGAAGAAACGAAGAAGTGTAAAACTTCTACTTCACGCCGGTCTTCTGTGAGATCGCGGTGCTAACGCCGGACGGACCTGCCCATTCATGCAACAGCAAGCACTGTTGTGTGGTCCTACCACAGTTAATCTGAAATAAATATTTCATTGTCCGAAATGTTTTGTGTTATATAAATATATATATACATATCAGCTTCATGTCAATACTTTTTCGATCTAGAAATTTCGGCTCTAGGTACTCAGGCTCATTCCTGACATATTATCGATAAGTTCTCTAATATGTAAGTAGTACTCAAAATTAAATCACTCTCACAACACAAACCAATACTCATGTCATATTTTTCCAAATTCTTTCATCGTCTTTAATGGACCATGTAGCTACGGGCATGCATGTTCATACAAATGCATGAACATGCATGCCCGTTGAAAGTTTGTGTGCAAGTGTCATGACTATCAAAATTCGCCTTGAAATTAACTGAATGTCTTTTATCTTTGGTAGAGCCACGCAGCAGCCTTCGCTGTTGCTCAAATGAGCAGGCTCGTCCAGGGCAATATGACGGCTTCAAGCACTAATAAGCATAACGGTCTTTATGAAGTCGTCTGCTGAATGAGGTAATTGGATCCCTCTTTTTAAAATATGTATCCCCACTTTTGCTGCACATATCCATGGGCGTCGATTATCTCTTAACATCTCGTGAGCTGAAACTATTTAACGACTTTTATAACGTTTTATTTCGATTTTAAATTGTCGACGTTTTGAACCCGTTCTGGCGCTCATGTTCATGATCTTTTAGTTTATTCTATATAAGAGAGTTCTTTTTTTATGTGAAAGTTGACAAACGAGCAGACGGTTCACCTGATGGTAAGTGAATACGACCGCCCATGGACATCTGCTACACCCGAGGGTTACAGATGCGTTGACAACCTTTTGAAAATTGGGCTCCGGCTAACTCACTCACCAGACGAAACGTGAAAGTATTTGTCATACTTCCACTTTACGCTGGTCTTCTGTGAGGTCGTGGTACTTACCCGGACGGGCCTGCCCATTCGTGCAACAGCCGAGGCTGCTGCGTGACTCTACCAGCGTTAAAAGTTCGCTAAAATAGTTTCATTAAATCATGTATAATATTCATTTAATAACAAAATAATATGAAGTAAACTGCCAACCCACTTGTCACCCTCTCATATAAAAAGAAGCTTTTGAGTTGCAACGTCTTTCACTATTAAATCAATTAGAATGGTGGTATACTTCATTGGAAAGTATAATTTTAGAGGTCTGTTCCTAAATTAAATGTAACAAAATATTAAAGGTATCTTTATGAAATGAAAAGCGCTCTAACTAATTTTTGAAATAATAATTATGTTATTATTTCAAGAAGACTGAAATAAAAACGTGTGTATGAAGATATATACGCACGTAACATCTCTAGCGTAATAAAAGGAAAATAAGTAAAAAATTAATCCATGTGCCAATACTCTTTGTTTGTGAAAAAAAAAAGGAATTAAATGCAATTGTTAACTAACGGTTTAAATAAATATCTTGGAATTAAAAAAGTTATTAGTTGTTATGGTTACACTATGAAGTTGGTGTCTCTTTTAGGCACAGAACACTTTTACTCAAAGAGCTTTTAGGTTGTCGGCATCGTAAAAATTCACTCTGATTTTTTTTCCAAACCCAACAAAAGAATTAGGTAATATAATTTCAAAAATTATTACCTACACATAAATTTATAAAATAAATTATTTTCATATAAACTTGTTAAATCAGTATTTACATAAAAAAATATCAAAAAGTGACATCAAAAACAAGCACGCGAAAAGTCTATTCCGGTTCTAAGAATAGATCGATTGATGTCTTGTTGCACGCTATTGTCAGTTTCTTTTTTCGATCTCTGTTAAATGCTGGAGAAAGTTTCACATCGCAATTAAAACAATAGTAGATAGTTGCTACCGGCTGGGATAAAGGGAGGAACTTATTGTTTTTGGTTAATTTATTGACGACTTTAATTAACTCTTTAATGTTTACTAAAAATATATATTAATAGGTATATTTTTTCTAACTAAAATGGTCAATATTTATTGGTTAATAATCGAAACTAATTTTAATTGGTACAGAAGTCTTCTGTATCCTAATTGATATTCTATATAAATATAAGTGTTAAACAAAGTTTAACATGTGGTACAGTATTTATAATGTTAAAAGCAAAATAAATAAATAAATAAGTAAATTTATTAATCAATAAATAAATGAAATCAGTTGGACCCAAAGTTTTCTCATTTTGACAATAAATTCAAATATTAACCTTATAAAATATTTGTATGTGCCATCTGTCGTCACTATATAAAAATGTTTGAATAACAAGGACCCCTTAATATTATAAACTTATAAAACTTGTAACTTTATATTGAAAACGACGCCATCTATTGGAGCAAAATATTTTACTAATTGTGTATATAAGTTCAGATGGCGCTTTTTATGTTTTAAAATTAATGTCAAACCACAGCTGCTACTCTTGTATTACTGTGTTATGATTTTACTTACTACAATTCCATTACTTCAATTTTATTTATTAGGTAATTTAAAATCTTAGCCGTGTATAACCTATTTCAAATTTAGTATCTTCAAAGGGCTGTTGAAAAACCTATATAGTTTAAACAAAAAGTATATTTGCTATAAAATTGACATCATTTGCCATTCTTAATTAGGGCGGATGTATAATTTATGTGGCTACGCAACTTCGCTGTTGCATGAATGGGCAGGTTTGTCCGGGTAAGTACCACGATTACACCGGCATGAAGTGGCAATGTTATACTTCTTCGTTTCGTCTAGTGAGTGATGTAGCCGGGACCCATTTTATTAAAAGGTAGTAACGCATCTGCAACCTTACGGGTGTTGCAGCGGTTATCACTTAACATCCGCCATAGCCGCCAGCACGCTTGCCCCTTTCTTACATGAAAAATCACATGTTATAGAATATTAATATAAGCTTAATTTAATTAATTTATTATTTGAACCAAATATTTCAAATTCATTTTTAGCAACATTTCAATTAATTATTTTCATAAGCATTTATGTATTTTCTATTATTTAATAACTGAAGAAACGCTTTTAGTACGGAGATTATGAAGCTTTATCTTATACCAAATCGTTACAGGGGTAATTTCTATGTTGGATAAAGCATTAATGTTGCTAATTTCATCAAAAATTAATAAAAGAAAACGCAATTTAAGAGTTTTTAAATATTTATAAACAGATGCTATTCATATGTACAAAAAGGAAAGCAATTCTGACAATTTATTCAATTCTAAGCGACAGTTAGATAAATGACACCGCGTTTTTTAATTTATCTACGGAAAATTGTACTTTCATTACAGCAAATTTGACTAATTTCGAATTCGGAATAAAATAAGATAAAAAGAAATCACTTTTATTTATTGCACATCGTAACCGAACCCTTACATTTGATTTTTAATTTATTGTAATTTCATTACAAATCGTTACAAACAGTCGATACAACAGCTACGTGCTCAATTATTTTCAATTAATTTTACACAACCAACACTACAAATACTAACTTCTTATCTAGATATCCCATAAGAAATGTTTTACAATTTTGTGCTGCCACGGGTATTGATTTGTGTAACGACAGTTTATTCGAGACACATCGAAAGCTTTACTTATACTGTAAACTGTGTTTTAGTGTTCATTGTTTCCCTAATTACTGAATAAAAACACAATATTCTACAAGCTTGTACCTAATTCTTTGGGAGTTTTCTTACTTATTTTATGAGCAGTGTTATAAGGAAAGTAACTCAGGTACGGAATCGTAAAATGATTTGATTTTAGATTATATTAATTAATTTGATTGGATATTAATCGATAAATGGCACCTTGGGAAATATTGTCAAATTGCTCTCTATGTTTGAATATAGCATGTAGGTACATTTATGTCAAGGTTTTAATTTTGGATTATACAAGCCATTCGCCTTCGAGCAATGATAAATTCCAGTTTAAACTTCGAGGCAATTTAATTGGCTCCGGGTCGAATTGATTTCTGAATAAATTAAAAGTTTGTTAATAATTTCAACACTGCCAGAGATCGGAGTTGTATTTGGAGTAATTTTATTTTATATACCTAGGTAGCCGTGCCGAATAAATTACCTCCGCGGACATAAATAAAATTTAAACTGGTGCTAAAACGTCACTGTACTACGTTCTATCATTTCTGCTCATTCTTTTGTAAAAGGGAAGAAGCTAGAATATTCACAAGATAACAAGCGCTACCTCATGATAATAATATCCGATATCGTTCCGTTCTTCACTCAATCGTCGTCATTAAGTAGGTCTGTACAGGATTTGGCTTTGGTTGACCTGAAAATATACAGAAAATAATAATAGTTATAAAGGGTGATTTGTTAGATTATTTGGTTGATAAAAGTAAAACCAAATTGAAAAGTTAGAAGAAATTTATCAGCTCTTGTACAATAAAAATATTCCTAAACTCGGTTTAATACCTTTACGATAGGAAATTGAAATTGAACAAATTATCATAGAATTTGGTTACTAGTTTCAAGAAATGTTCAATATAATGGGTTAATTCTGTCCTAATTCAGTAAAAAAATCGTAAATGTCATTTGGATAAATCTAGATGTTTGTGGTGATATTTGAAATATGAAAAGTACACAATAACAAAAAAAATAAAATAAAATTAGAAGTAATGCCTGAATGGCTGACTTTGTGATTGTAGTGTATTTATTAAAGGATAGTTACACAACAAGCGACAAATAATATGTCCTATGCCAACAGCAGTTTCAACGAAATTTGCCATAACAGTGTTTTATTAATTCCTTTTTATACTTACTCTGAATTTCTTACTCTCCTACAAACTCTGAGTTCAATGGGTCCACTTCGCACAGCTTTGAAGAGCGCCAACGCTTCGATATGGGCTAATTCATGACATGCTTGCCCATTCACCGCTAATACTTCGTCACCTGAAATGTTGAGTGTCGACTTTAGCATGGATATTTTTTTAGCATATATATGACACGTATACATCAATAACAACGAAAGGCTAAGCGATTTTACTAAATATAAAGGCTAAAAAAAATATAAAGGCTAAAAACATGATGCATTTGATTTTGATAAAGGAAAACATCTGTTTGCACTTTATATCTTCATTTAAAATTACTCAAGATATATATTTCATATTAATAGTTATTTCAGGTACGATAAAAATAAAAACACATAACTAAAATGTATATTATTATAATGGATCAAACTTTTAGCACTTACTTAATGTATCGTTATTTGACGAGTTTAAACCTCCAGTAAAATTACTGGAATTTAAGATGTTATAACAGAAATTACCAAGGAGTATAACAAGTAAAACTTCTGAACGTTCACATAAGCAAACAATAGCGTTGTCTGTTATTGCGCGCCTAATATTACAGTTCCGACAAACGGCGACACAATGGACCTCGCTATCCTTATCAAATCGCATTCCTCGAAATTAACAAGCGACGAGTTCATTGTCGCGCCAGTCCGATCACGGACGTTACCTGCTTTCAATCTGCCATCCTCGACGGCCTGTCCCTGGGCGAGGATGCTCTTGATGAAGATGCCGAGCGGCCCGCGGGGAGAGTCGCGCCCCCCCACTATGGTGAAACCGAGCGGTTTCTTCCCGTGGCCCTTCTCGAAGGTGATCGTGTGGTAGGTGTGCGTGGGCGCGCGCGGCCGCCTCGGCAGCGTGCAGAAGTTGGCCGCGTTCGCCGTCTGCATTTCACCGTCGGCGTCATTCTTGTCGGCCCCGCTCCCACCGTCCGGCGAGTCCACGTCCACGTCACCGGCGCAGCTGAGCGCGAGCGGGTCCTTGTTCCCGCCACCGTAGCTGACGACCTGCCGACGCAGCAGCTTGTTGTTCATGCTGCTGTAGCTCGCGTTCTGGCCCTTCAGGAAGTGCGAGTGCGCGCCAACCGCACTGTCCGCCTCGTCGGGCGATAACGCGTCGCGTATACGCGCGGATTCGTCCTGTGGCTGTCGTCGGTCTATCGTGACGTCATACTTATCGGCGGCCCTTTCCTTTCCCAATATGATTGCGTTCTCATAGTCAACGGAGCTCTCGCGCATCAGCGTTTGGCTCCGCTGCGGCGGGTCGCGTTGTCTGTACTCCACTGAGGATTTCTCGCGCTGCCTACAGATGACGATGTCTATTTCAGATGCCCCGGAACGCAAGGCTTCTTTCGCTTCAGGCATGGTAAGGTCGCGGAGCCTCCGACCGTTTACATTAAGTAACTCATCGCCGATTCGCAACGTTCCTTCTCTGAAAAGATACAACGATTTTTTTTTTATTTTGCTTCATAAAACATTATGTATAGTATAAGGTACAATATATATGGATACTGGTGTATGCATTTATCTTTAATTAATCACGCAATATTAATGATTTATACATGTATTTGTTTGATATGACTCGTTAATAATAAGTTATTGTATGACTTGTGAAAGTTGACTGAAATCAATATTTATTAATGAGAAAATTAATAATTTATTAGCTAACAAATAATAACAAATCAACCATAAGGAGGAATGAGTGGATTTGTTTATCAATTTATTATATTAGGTATTCTTATATTTGAAAAGTACTGTAGCGTAGAATAGTAATTTAGTGTATCATACGTAGAGATAAATTGTTCTGTTTTTGAGGTTTTAGTGAGAATATCGATATTTTATATTATATATTATTAGGCGTTAAAGTGGTATTGCTTTATTCTAGTAATTTGTCACAATACTATGTATTTTCATTAAGTCTAAAAAATTGCACAGTTATAGAAGGTCAATAAGTAAATTAAAAAAAAAACCTATATTACATAATTAACTTACTTTGCTGCTAGTCCTCCTGGTACTACATGGGCAACCAAATATCCTACGTGACCTTCGTCAGAAAGCTTGGTTTTAGCAATAAATATGCCCAATTCATCGGTAGGATTCCTTCTGACAATCCTGACTACTTTGAATTCCGATTGCAATTTGTCAGAATTGTTAGGTTTTATTTGTTTACGACAAGGTGGAATAGGTGGGATGCCGGAATCTCCTCGACTAACATCTCTTTGTCTCATCTTCTGTTTTTCAGTCAGTTGTAAGAATTGAGGTTCACTGTAATCAGCGTTATTTTTAGGCATACGTCGTAATATTTCCTTACGGTCTAATGACAATGCTCTTTGATTTCGAGACTTAGATTTGGCACATTCGTTCCTTTCTCTACCTCTTCGCCCTGATATTCTAGCCTTAGTATAAGTTTGGTCACCGGACACGCTTCTTCCGTGACACGTCGCTTGAGGATTTGATTGGGATGCAGAACTTTCGCATCGTGATGATATTCTGTCACTGTCAAAAATAGACGAAGCCGCCGATTCATTTACAAGTATACCGGAATCAGCATCTTCGCAGTCCTGTATTAGTACATTCTCATCGTCACATGACACATGGTAGATATCATCATGGAACACTGCACTTTCTCCCTTTTGAAATTCATCTAGGCCGGGTAGCGCGCCGTAAGAAAAACTTCGCAATTTCGCTTTGACTCCACCTCTTTTTTTACGACTCTTGCTAAGAGCGCTACTCGACTTTATAACATTATCATTGCCACTGTTTACTGCTTCCTCCTCATCACCACTCTGCTTATAGAGTTTAGAAAAAAACTTATTGGTAGATGACTTAAGGTACCTATCCGACATCGCTCGTAATTTAGCTGATAGACAAGAGCTAGGCCCAATCGTGTCTTTGTCGTCTTTTATCTTATATTTATCAGTCTTTTTATCTGTTTTAAGTGGTATTGGTAAATGATCATCGTAAGGCTCGTAATCGTCATTGAAGATTTGGTCACTAGATTTAGACAGTTTAGCTCCTGCTTTAGGGATAGCATGGTAACGATCGCACTCTGAACCGGAACTGTAACATCTAGTGCCTCTATTACTAAACGATTTGCCTTCCCTCCACTTACACTCGCCGGGACTAGTCACACTTTTGGCGTAAAAGACTTCGTCATCATAATTTGGCATTTTTACCCACGGGTTATGGTTTTCAAACTCATTGTGGGTGTCCGGGTAGTTTCCAGCGTACCGGCAGTGGGAAATGTCCTCCACGTGGCCGAATCCACTGCAATCGCTACCAGAAGTTGACGCCGCGTCATCGCCCTGTCGCAAGGGACCGTTCGATTTGAAACACGACAATTTTGTGTTCTTCACTTTATCGAGTAGCGGATTACGCTTTTCCCGGTAAACCATGTACTCTTTCTCCAGAGAACCGCCGCGGTTTTTGCGACATGCGCTATAGCTCTCTTGCGGCGAAGTGGGACCGCTTTGTAATGATATACGGCGAGTAACTGGAGTTTCACTTTCGCGGCATAGATGAGGCGATTTTTCCACAATGATTATCTGATCGTTTAGATTGTAGAAGTTCGTTTCCACCGAGCTGCTGCTGCTTTTTCGATTTGAGTAGCGCACTGGGGACATATCTGTAAATGAAACGGTGCCGTTATAAGATATAACTAGTCAAAATGTAACAATCTTGTACAATATTAGTAATAGTCAAGGCTGGGAACTCAATTTTATTTTACTGTCTGATATTTGTGTGTCACGTATTCCAGCGTTTTTCACATTTACTTCATTAATTAATGAGAAAAATGTTAATTCTAAACGGTGAAAATAGTGTCTTAAACATTATCTTCTTATATAGTAAAAAAACATTAAAATTAATAAAGTTTACTTGCCCTCACTTTTTCTAAACGGTGTCCAATCACGTCAGGTTAAGTTAATTTAGGTAACTTGAAATTGGTTATTTACACATTATTGTGCTTTTAAAACTACAACAGTATGAAAGTTGATCTTTTACGCTAAGTCAATAATGTTGAATCAACATTGCAAATTAATAATCAATTGGCAATATCAGAAAAACTTTTGCATTGGAGAGCATCTTTCTCTGCCTCAAATACTAAATAAATGGAACATTAGGTAAAGTATCAGCTTACATATGTTCCACTGCTGGGCAAAGACCTCATCACCCTCTACTAGTATACTACTATATAGCCCACCACGCGACCCCACTGTGGATTGGCAGACTTCATTTATCATATTTTTACCTTTCTCAATTTTTTTTTAATTATTGTTTCATATTTCTCGAAATTATGCAGGTTTCTTCGACGATTTTCGTCTCCGCTGTACACGTGATAAGTTAGCAATGAGATTGCATTTGGCCATTTCATTGGTGCCGGCACCGGGAGCTCAGGTTGCTAACAACATACTCGATGTTGAATATGCGGGCGCCTGGACACTAAGCTATCGCGGCTACTCTGACACGGTATATTATTTCAAGTCGTACCGATTCTGGACCGGCGAGGTGAGCGCGTTTCGGTGTCGGGCGACACGGCGAGCAGCCGCGGCGGCTCGCCTTTCCTGAACCACCGCATTGTCCGTGCCACTCACTCCATAACGCAGCTGAAACAACGCACACCCGTTAATACAGAAAGACGGACGCCATGAACAATACCATATGCATCGGTTGTCGATTGTTACTTCTTCTGTGCACCGCTATATTTATATAAAGATAGATTATAGTCGAGTAACAGCTTACGTTTAAATAGAATTTTGGTTTTATTACATACAACACTAGATGACTGTAACATTTGTTATGTATACGTCTATATTCATAATCATCGTCATCATAATTTCAGCCTGTTTTAGTCCACATCTGAACAAAGGCCTCCCACATAGACTAGTAAGAAGCACGATCCTAAGCCACCTGCATCAAAAGCAGCATCCTTAAAAAAATAAGCGGGTATCATTGATTGTTATGGCTTTCTAACTTGTTATTTTGATATGCGTATTAACAACTATATAATTTTCCTGTTCGCAACAGATTGTTTAATTGTTCGTAATATTGGCTGGAATTCGTAACGGAAATTGATTTTTTTTTTAAATTTGAATGTTCAGACGGCGTCCTAGATTAACCAGGCGTAATATTATTATGACCTACAAAGACGGTTTATTATTTACTCACTCGCGCACTACATTAAGATATACATAAACAGATGTTATTTTAAGATTATAATTATGCATATATAAAATCTTCACTATTAATTTAAAAGCCAAATGAACCAAATCACCATCCATGTTCTTAATATCAATTTCAGGTCAAGAATACATCAAAATACTTTACATAAATCGTGGAATAAAGTGGAAGTGAGTTGACATCGCTGTTATTAACTTGGTAATGATGTTAGTAATCGATTCTTTAATATTACAAACGTCTAAATTTTCCAAATTTGGTTTCAAATCTCGGTAAGGACAAACAATATACGGGTGGAAATTAACAACGCACCCTTTTCAGGGCATACCAGTTGAAAATTAAAACGACCTAAGCCAAATATTTCCCAACATTGCCATTTCGAATTTCAATCGATATGTGTGACTCGTTCGACGACTTAAATAATTAAATATAGATTACGTGACGTCGTCTAACGCAAGTGTACCGAACATGGCTACCAATTAGCTCACTCGTGCGACATTCATCATCGACGAAGGCTGTCGTAAGAATTGACAACCGATTTGATTATGATCACGTAACATCTAACCTTGCTTGAGCGTTAGCTAATCGATTCGATACATTTTGGTGTTGTGGTCGTTTGTAAAGGCTGTCTCGATAATGGTCTTAGGCTTTAAATGGTTTTGAAACATTTTTAACCGATTTCAAAAAAGGAGGAGGTTTCTCAATTCGACCGTATATATTTTTATTTTTATTATGTATGTTCGCGGATAACTTCGTCGTTTATGAGCCGATTTTGATGATTCTTTTTTTGTCGGAAAAGAGATATCCCAAGGGTGGTACCATGATAGGGAAACCCGGATCTGACGATGGCATCCCAGAGAAATCGAGGGCCATTATTGAATATTATAGGTATTAACAATGTTTTTAATTTTCTGATTGAAGTCGGTTTTTTTTGTTAAAAATTATACTTGTAAGCAGTTATTAATCTCTGAATCGTAATCAAATTATGTTCTTAATGATTTGGTACAAACTCATTAGTAAGTTACACAGTTATAATTATAATTTATAATTCAATTACTAAGTTACTTAAATTATAAATTTTAATTGCTCTAAAGATACTCTTGCCGACAAGAATGAAGAAGAATATTTCAGAATAAAGAAGAAATATTCATTTGATTAATAACTTGATCCGATGACGTTTCGTGTTCGCAATTTACTCAAATTTATTTCAGTTCGTTGTCTTCTAACATCACGACAGGGCTAACTGTCGGTAATAGAGATTCATTATTCAGATTATTCAGACTTATTACATCAATGCCATTAAGGGTTCTAACTTTACTTCGAGCATCAATGTCGATTTACCGCGTCAAAGAGGTTTGAAAGGCGGTTAAGTTTCGATTCCTTTTTAGGTTGCTTTTAAATTTGTTCTTCATCTATTTCACAACATTTGAGAGTTATCTTATCGGAACAAAAGCCGGCCATGGGCACATCACATCGTCGCTTTGTCTATATAATATATCTATTGAAATAAGTTAACGTGTTCCAAAAAATAGCACGCAAAACTCACATTAGCGATGTCATAAGACTTTATAATACTACTTTGACCTCTTATGCAGACATGCATATATATGTAATGATATTGTGCACTTACCCCAATAACCACTGATTAGCTCATCAAGCATATTGCAAGAATATTAGAAACATTTTTGATATGTATCATCTTATAGTTTAGATCTTTGTGCTCGTTTTATGTCACAAGAAAATTTCTTATAAGTAAACAATCTAAAGAATATGCGCAATAATATATTCTATATCTGCGTAAGTGTTGAGTTAATCTTAAGTAACAAGTGCGTTAATACTAGTATGTTTAACACCAAAAAGGCCTCGCACTACCACTCTGTGGAACCAGCTGCCGCCGGCAGTTTTTCCGAACCTTTACGACCTGGGAACCTTCAAGATGAGAAGACACTCTTTCCTAAAAGGCCGGCAACGCATTTTTAAGCCCTCTCGTGTTGCAGATGTCTGTGGCCGGCGGTGACCACTTTCCATCAGGTGAGCCTCCTGCTCGTTTGACCCTTTATCCATTAAAAAAAAACACCAAATATAGTAATGTTACCGTATTCCTTACTTAATTTAAAAATAAAAGTCATATACCCGTATAAAGTTTATTATTCAAATAAAAAAATTAATCAATGTGTTAATGCCTAAACACATTGATTATTTTTTTTAATCAATATGAATTGTGCAATTTTGTCTTTAGGAAATTACTGTGGTAATAAATCCACTGCTTCCTTACTTTTTATTATTAAAAAATACACTATGTTAATCACAACTCTATCGATTTTACGGCAGCAAGAACGTGTTGCCATAAAATCAATAGAGTCGAAACGACCAAGAGAAAAAATAGCTAATCAAGATCTTTAAAGGTTACTCAGGAAATCAATTAAGAGGCTATGAGACACTTATGACGCACCATAAATGTCACTGTATACCACAGCCTATACGATGATGGCAAGGCAAGTAAAGGCGAAGAGGCCTTAAGCGATTCACATAATCTTGAGAGCATTTACTCTCTTTAATTGTATTTGTTATGCTGACAATGGCGTCCTTACCAGAGTTACGTATAATAAACGCAGGTAGGAAGTCACTAGAGTAAGAAGTGCCTAGAATTTCGTATTACAAATTACGCAAGCGTCGATAACGTAACTTAACAAAGCAGAAGTACTACTCAGACAGATAAAATAGAACAAAGGAGGACAATTAACATGCAAAACCAGCAGATAATAATGTTTGAGCCCGATTTCAGTATTAAAACGTACGTCACACTAGCATTGTAGAGTAAGCTTAAAATTGCAATTCAATGAAGTTGGTGATTCTGAATCACTATTATAAATTATTTTTGAAGAGTATCAAAAATATTAAATTATATGAAGATCAAAATGTACTTACGACATGGAAAAGGCTAAAATTGGTATGGATCCCAGATTACAGATCTAAATATGTATGATTTGTCTGTGGTAGGACCACGCATCCGTCTTCGCTGTTGCACGAATGGGCAGATCCGGCCGGGAAAGTACCACGACCTCACAAAAGACCGGCGTAAGTGGGAGTTTTACATTACGGCGTTTCGTCTGGTGAGAGAAATAGTCGAAGCCCACTTTATTAAAAGGTGGCAGCGCATCTGCAACTCTACGGGTTATCACGTAACCTGATGTTAAGTGATAACCGCTTGCCACCTTCTCATACAAAAAAATGTGATACTGAGATCTTTATTGTTAGATATGAAATTAATTGATAGTTTTGTATTAAGGCAAGGTATATGATTGTATTGGCCATCGTAGTATAGTACGACCTCCCCCCTCACCACTGTGCCTGTGCGAATGTGCGGGAAGTCGATGGTTGCAAGTGGCTCAGGTTCATGCTTCGTGGCTGTCTGTGAAGGGGTGGACTAGAACAGGCTGAAATGATGATGATGACGTAATTGTGTTGTTTACATAGTTATTTAACTTAGAGAGTCGGGATAGTTTATGGTCCTACATATCAGAATATCAGGTGGTGTTCATAAGTCATTTTTTAGTACAACATGAAAAACTCGTTATAATGGTAGATGTATAACAATTAAGTATCAGTGTTAAAGTGGACGCCTGTAAAATGCTCATATTGGATGATGAGGTCACTTTTTAAATAATTGATGCATATAAGAGAGGATACATTTAAATTGAGACTTTTATCTCTGTGATGCATCATTTGTTTTATAAATTATTACATTTTTAGTACTAGTCACGTTTTATCACGTGCTCATTGGTAAAGGAAAACATCGCGACGCAACCAGCATATTTACGAATTAATTACAATTATAAAAAGGATAACAAAAAAAACTATTTTAAAGTTATGTGAAGTCTGCCAATCTGCCGTGGGGTCGAGAGGTGGCTTAATACTCGGTACAGAAGGTTTGCCCAGTAGTGGGACATGCATAGGCTAATACTTTATTTTAGCGCTAGTCTTTGAACATAATCAATCATAAAACTAGGAGAATACTTGTCGAACAATTTAACGGCGCTGTCAGGAATATCTATCAACTATCTAAGTACATTAAACAAAAATTATATTAATACAATCAGTCCGAATGTATTCATAATATCTGTAGGGTATATCTATCAGAACTAAAATTATTTTACAAAGAACCGGAAAATATTCACAAACGTATACGGAAAGAAGTAAGGTAGGTATATTACTTCCTACGTAACATCATTGTGGTTATCGTGAAGAATAAATGAATAATATTGTTACTTAATAATAGTAATTATTTATGTTTTACTTATGCAAAATTTATTCGATTCTTTAGATTTGATGTGAAAATTACATGTTTGTTATGCAAAAGTCTCATTATAACGCTGTTAGAAATTAGGCTACAGCGACACA